GGATCCTAATTGCCATGGTTCTAAAACATGGTGCAAATGGTTTTCTGTATCACAGACATAACCAGGCCTTGGGGTCTCAGCCTCCTGGACATCATAAATGCCAAATCACTGGGCCAGAAGTCACTGTCACACTGGCTTAATTGTTAGGTTAAGTTATTCAGGGCTATTCGATGGGGATGGTTGGTTTCCAAGAGGTTGTTTTGAGCCTCTGTGTTCTGAGAGAGTACATCTCCTGCCTTGGGATCTGTGTTTACCTACAAATCTGTGAAATATTTTTTACACCAACCCCAGGCAGTGTTAAGTGTAAGATTACAATGTGGAGGAGTTACTTCACTGAGCTCCCAGATAGGCAGCTAGATGGGCTCTCTAGAGCTCACAGGTTACAAAAGCTGACACCTTAATGGAGATCTACGTGGAGTGAAGCCAGATTTAGCGGCTTTCAGAGCTATGCATTTGAACTGCCTGACTATTTGTGTTGAAACCAATGTACATTAAGCGGGTGTGGGCTTTGTATATGAGTGATTTCCTGCATGTATGAATGCACACAGTGTGCATGCTTGAAGAGGGTGTCAGATCTCTTGGAACTGGACTTACAGACAGGTGTAGGTTACCAAATGTATGCTGGGACCAGTCCTTTGCAAGCACAGCAAGTGCTTTTAACTGCTGAGCCATCTCTCCAGCTGTCTGAATTTATTTGAAAGCAGGAAAAAGTAAGGTACAGAAATGTTGGGGGACTTGGGGACAGTCAGCCTTGTTTGCTTTTTCTGGTGGTCTCACCAAGAAGTCTTACGGAACTGTTGCCTTCCATGCCTGTGGGCAGATGAGGATGGCAGGGAGCCCCACCCCACGGATACTGGGCTGGGTCCTGCAGATGTGCCTGGATCTGGATATTTGGGTTCATAGGCTAGGTTCCAAGGGGTGCTCTTTAAACACTTCTGTGTGTTGACACCTGTTTTGTAGGAGGGATAAACCCATACGCCCCACCACCTCTGACTTCAAAACAGAAACATTATTACATAATGAGATTTTCCAAGTCAGACCACCACTTGGGGGCATATTAAATTATTTAAACTCTAGGTGCTAAAATAAATCACTTGTCCCTAACAAACACCTGTCTCTGTGGTGCAAGGTTGCTGGTGCTTTGCTAGTTAGTTCAGCGGAGGGACCAAATCTGATAGGAGGGAAAACTAAGTAAATGGACTAGCCCCAGGAGATGATATTTAATCCCCTTTGTTTCTTCTTATAGACTGTTGCCTGGTTAATGTTCCTTTGACCTGCCTGTGACTTCAGATTTAAAATGAAATAATATAAACCCTTAGATCAAGATTGTTCTATTAGCATTTAAAGCTAAAAAGAAATGTATGGTGCCTTGCCCCTGTAATCTAACACTTGGGAGGGTGAGATAGGAAGTTTGCCTTGAGTGTAAGGCTAGCCTGGGTTGCGTACAAGAGTCCATCTCAACACACAGAAAATGACATCTATGTCTAGCTGAGTAATTGGAGGGTATTAACACATATGCCCACTAGATGGTAGGCACATAAGTGCGCGTGTGCGCGCAAACACACACACACACACACACACACACGCACACGCACACGCACACGCACACACACACTCTCATACACACACTCATACACACACAGGCACACACACACACACTCACACAAGGTCACATGCACACACACACACACACACACACACACACACACACACACACACACTCAGGGTGACATAGGATTGTTTCTAGCCATTGTCATAATCCTCAGGGAGTGGGGGCTTGGCCTTAGACAGAGGGAAGGCTGTTAGCGTTTTCATGGGTGCTAAGTCCTGTGGTCTCTTGACCGTAGCACTCTGTTTTGAGTAAGTAGGTTCACAGTGAACACATGCAAAGAGGGTTTTGATTTTTAACCAACTGGCTAAACCAAAAGCTCTTAAGTGATGTAATTTCAAAAAATGCCTTTGATGATTTTAGAAGACTAGAATTCACTGTTTTCATTTGGTTCTGTTTTAATGGGCAAATCATGGAAGGTTCCAGAAGGATGTTCGACTCTCAAAATGTAAGAAACCTGGCCTCCCACAGGCAGGAAGGTTCAGGGACTTTCCTCAGGCCCAGTGTCCTTGGGCAGTTGTCCAGCAGTGGCCCTGACTACACAGCAGCTAACACTGGTTCCTTTAGATGGCGGTTGCAGAAGCAGCAAATTAACCAGGTCAGGTCCAAATGTGAAGTTAGGGAGAACAGGGGGAACCAGACTCCTTGCCCCGCTTTCACCTTGAGCTGCTGATGCCCACAAGGAACAGGGTGAACGGTTGGTTAGTCACAGATTGCCCCTCCACTCACCCTATCCTGGCTTTTCACTGCAGGTAAAACTGGTTTTCAAAACCACAAACCTAGTTGAAGATAATGCTGTTCTATTGCTGTGTGACTTTTATTCGGTGTCTGGAAGCAGATCCATGGGTGTTGAGTGTATTATTAAATTTTTATTCTAAAATATAATGCATATTCATTATAATTCATATTGTATTTATTGGAAAGATTTTGATATTTTACCATGAGCAACTCAAATACACACAAAATAAAGTCTTAATAGTTTCATGTTTTTCATATTTGCTTTACTTACTTCTTTAAAACTGTAGTGGATAAAGATTTTCTTTTAAAAAAATATTTCTATAATAGCAAGGTCTAAGAAAAATTCCCCGAAGTCCTCACATTACCTTTCAATTCAATCTTGTGCATATGTAACCACAATGCAATGAGAATTTAGCTGTGAAACTTTTATGAGGTATACAAATTTGCTTTTGTATACAGAGTTTTACATGTCTAGCTTATTCTTAATTCAGCAGCATTTTGAGGGTACCTCAATGTTGGAGAGCATAAAATGATGAGTAAAACAAAATAGAAGATGACTCCTGACATGTTTGTTAAAAATGGGAGTTTTAAAGATGTTTGACTAGGAAACTAAAGAGAAAGAACAATTCTGTGCCATGCTGGCAGGTCATATCTGAGAAGTCAGCACTAGCATTGACAAAGCTAATTTGGAGAGACAAGCCATTCGCTGTCTGTTAGTCTGATTCTTGAGCTGGTAGAGTTCCTCAGCCTGGCACCCCTGTATACCAGCTGCCTATGGAGTCCCTGGGAGGTGATGATTCAATTATATTGCTTAGGCATTGGTGGGGGCCAAGCTGCTTGGACCACCATTATTTTGGCTGGTTTGTCACTAAGTCTCCTCATGGGGAGATGGAACTGATGGTCAGAGTTAAGTTATTCTCCATCTATTTATTTTATGTATGTCTGGATTTATGTCTGCACACTACTCAAGGGCATCAGATTCCGTGAGACTTAGAGTTATAAGCAGTTCTGAGCTGCCATGTGGGTGCTAGGAATTGAACCCAGGACCTGGAAGAACAGCCAGTTCTCTTATTTGCTGAGTTATCTCTCCAATCCCTATTTTGCATTTAAAACAAAACAAAACAACAACAACAAAAAAAAACTTGTTTTCTGGGCTGGAGTTATAGCTTGGTGTTAGAGCACTTGTTAGCGTGCCTGAGTCCCTGGCTTTGGTCCCCAATACCACCCCCAAATTTTGTTTTTTAATGTTAGCACTCTGCTATTTAAAACGACAACAACAACAACAACAAAGGAGCATATAAAACAACCAAGGAGAGCTGGGAATGAGGCGTGGATGGTAGAATGCTTGCCTAACATTCGTGAAGCCCTGGATTAGACCCCAGCAGCACACAGTCCTGGTGTAGTAAGTGGCATGTGCCTGTGATCTCTGCACTCAAGAGGTAGAAGCAGGTAGATCAGAAATTCAAAGTTTGAGGCTAGCCTGTAGTACATGAGACCCTGTCTCAAAAGGAATGAACCAGTGAACCTGACATAAGGAAAACTGCCCCTCTAGGTTACCGCTTCCTGCTGTACTCGCCTCTTCCCTCATTTGTTATCTTAGGGAATACAGAAGTGCTCTGCACTTGGGGTGAAGTATGCCTTTTGCCATTTGAGACACACTTTCCTGTTACCCCCTCTTCTCTCTTCCACCTGGGCAGCACTGAGGATTAACTTCAAGGCCTCAGGGTTGCTAGGCATGCACTCTACCACTAAACCATACCTCAGCCTTTTATCCACTGTTCATACTTGCTTGCTTTCAGTAGCAGTAGAAAAAAAGAAGTACATGGGGGTTATAAGCTGGTTTGACTTTACCAACGTCAAACCTCATCAGTTAGTCAAGGTTCACTTTTTAAATTCTATGTTAAATGTGTTTTTCAGGCAAAAAGTAAACTTTAGGAACTTTTGATTAATCTCCCCATGTAGACAGCAGCTTGATTCATATTATACAATAAAGGGAATATAATGAGCTATGGAAACTATCAGACCCTAGGTTCTATGTAGACACAAGATTTAGTTTGAAGTGAGAATCACATTGCACTGAACAAATACTCTTGACATTTATAGTTACTTTTCAGATGCGTTACATTCTGGATCCCCAGCATGTGTTTATCCTGGCAAAAAATGTTCATAGCTGGATTGGAGAGATGGCTCAGTAGTTAAGGGCAGTTGCTGCTCTTCCAAAGAACTAAGTTCAGTTTCCCACACCCATGTGAGGCATTTCACAGACATCTGTAACTCCAGTTCCAGGGATCTCACAGCCTATTCTGGCCTCTGTCGACAATAGCACTCATGTGCATATACCCCAACACCCACACACATACAATTTAAAGTAAAAATAAATCCTTTTTTAAAAAGGTTCATAGCTGTTTCTTGTACTGTAACTTGTTAGTCCTAGGTGATAAGTAAAAGACTTGAGAGTCTCTTATCATTGAACATGTCTAGGAAAGGTGGGGAAGACAGTCCAATAACATCATCTCTTTCTTCCGGAATGAATGGCTTATTCCCTCACTTTACAAAATTTAATTGCTTTTAAGAACTGAATCTCAAAGTTGTGGATTATGTGGTGAAGTGCTCAGGGCTGAATGTGCATTTATACCTCTTTCCTTTTGGGCAGGAAATCACTACCTGTTTGCCAGACTACTACAAATGGACGCAATACCTGTTTATCAAACTCTACGAAGCTGGACTGGCCTATCAGAAGGAGGTAAGTTCACATTAGCTACCCTTTTAAAATTTTTAAAATTCTCTACATCTTAGAATCATCACTTTAGCCAAGTATGTCAGCCACACTTTTAATCCTCATACTTGAGAGGCAGAGGCAGGCAGATCTTGATAAGTTCGAGACCAGCCTGATCAACAAAATGAGTTCCAGAATAGCCAGAGCTACATAGTGAGACCCTGTCCCAAAAATGCCATCCCCTACCAAAAAATAAATAAATCATAACTTCTACGTGAGAAAGAAAATCCTGTTTACATGTAATGGTAAAGATGAATGTGGCCTCAAGTTCATAGACTCATCACAGCAGACCTAGCACTACCAAAAATAAGAGAGTATTTCTTTTTACCTACTATGTAAAACCCTTCCTGCAATCTTCCTGCTGTCAGTGGTAATAATAGATGGGCCAGCCTTCTTTGGTTTGTGAACCTAGAAATTTTATGTTCTAGATACTTATTATCCTGGTCATCTCCGTATACTTATGAGGGGAAGATCTTAGGAACCCTGTGTTAGAGGAAATAAACTGTCCCATGCCCCTCTTTCCATCTGATTCCAGGCAGCATAGCTTTAAGTTTTTGGTGATAGTACTACTTGCAGTTATAAAAATCATAACCCAGATTATATAGCTCATGGATTAGCTAATCCCTCTCCACCCTGATTTTTATACTGATGTGGAAAACATCCAGAACCAGTCAGGTCCCAACATATCTTGAAAGAGCCACTGAAGAGACTATACTAAAGGGTTAAGTGTGCTGACTTTAGCACAGTCTCGAAGGTCTGGAAAGTTCCTAGCACTGATGAGAGGATACCCTTGTCGCTTGGCAAGGCTAGAGGGCAGTACTGGGCCCCTGACCAAGCAGGAGGGTTGTCTGACAGTGTTGTAGCCTTTAGTACACCTCCCACAGAGTTCCTCACAGAAGGCAGAGTAGCCTGCAAACCAGACTTGAGGTGGATGCAGACCATAAACAGGAAGGAAGAAGGATCTATGAACCGTATAGTTGCTGGCACCATCTCTCTCTAGTGGGAATCACTAGGAATACTTTTTGGTGCACATGTTAAGCACATAGTCTACCATTAAATTTTTAAGCAATGTATTTGAAGTCAAGTAGTACAACCTCTAGACTCCTCTATACTTATATCCAGTGCCTGCTTCTTACTAGGAGGCACCTGAATGTCACCAAGCGGTAAGTGTAGGCAGAGACTAACAGGAACTCTGGAGAGTCTTCCTCATGGTTAGGACTGTGTGTTCTACCAGGTGAACCTTTGGAGTAGAACTCAGAGTGATTACCTTGGGATACAGTGTTAAAGGCAGAAAACATAGTTTTGTGGAGGTGCTAAAAATTATCTGTGTTTTGACATGGATAGTAGTTACATGTTTATTCATTTAAAAAAATCATTAATTTTTCACTTAAAACTCAACAGCTTTCGGCTAGGCGTTGGTGGCACATGCCTTTAATCCCAGCACTCGGGAGGCAGAGGCAGGTGAATCTTTGTGAGTTCAAGGCCAGCCTGATCTTCAAAGAGTTCCAGGACAGTCTCCAAACCTACAGAGAAACCCTGTCTTGAAAAACCAAAAGTACACTTTAAACTGCAGTCTTTAAAATTTGTGAACATAGACCCAAATTCTTCCCCTGTCTGTCAGTGTCTCTGAGACCTTAGGTATGTTATATTGCTCCTCTGATCCTCATATTCATTCTCTGTGATATGATTCTCTGAGGATAGGAGTCTTCTTACCACAAAGCTGATTGAGAGAATCAAAGGGCCACACATAAGCCAAGGGCAATGGCACACAACTGTAATTCCAGCTCTTGGAAGACTAAGGCAGCTCAAATATCAAGCTCACCGTATGCACAGCCACTTAGCTGTAAACCACTTAGCATGGGAACTACTGTCTGGTTATCACTCAGTAAGTTAGTGTTGTTATTAAAAACAAGTATATTTATTTCTTATGCAGTAACCCTATTCTTCTAAACTTCAAATAAATACAATTGTTTTTTCTTCTTTTGCAAAGTGTTCTACAATTTCAGATCCTGAATGTTTATCCTGTCATTCAAGAAAAACCTAAAGTAGAGTTAGACATGGGCTCAAAGGCTTCCCCACATCTACTCTGACAAGGTCATTTCATGTGTCTTTGTCACAGCTTGCTAGTGGCCCATTGACCAGGCAACCTACCCTAAAGATGCCCTCAGGCTTAGAGAGAGCCCCACTGTTACATTACGACCTTGTTCTCCAAGGGCACCTCCACAGGGCATTCACAACAGTGTACCCTCCTGTCTCCTGCATCCTAACAGGCCTTGGTTAACTGGGATCCAGTAGATCAAACGGTGTTGGCCAATGAGCAAGTGAATGAATATGGCTGTTCATGGCGTTCTGGAGCCAAAGTGGAGAAGAAATACCTCCGACAGTGGTTCATTAAGACAACTGCATATGCAAAGGTAAATGGTTGTAGGAGTACCTCAGTAATGCCCAGTATGTGGGTAGGCTACACTGGTGGCTCTGTGGAAAGAGCGTAAGCAGAGCCTTTAGAGAGGGGAAGCAGAGAGCCTCAGGTTCACCTGCAGGGTGGTGGACAAGGGTCTCGAAGCTTTAACATGAGAGGCACCTGGAAGTCATTCCAGGTCATTGTTGGTGGACTGTCACAAAGCAACAGTAACTGTGTCTATAATTATGCATCCAAGAAAGAAGAAGGGAATGAGTCTTTGTGAAGCTCCAGAGCACTTGAGTTCTAGTTTCTCTGCACCATTGCATATGGTGTCCTAGAAGTGAAGAGCTGACTGGTCTCCAGGAGACCAGGCCAGGGTAGCAATGGGCTGGGCCAAGTCCAAAGCTCTAGATGTGACTCTTTTATGCCTCTGATCCATAGTGGGGGCTGCCATGGGCCTCAGTTTCCTGATTAGTAAGTTAGACCTGATGATGGTTCAAGCACCTTCTGGCTCATTTCTGTATTCAGAGATTCAAGACAAAACCACCAGTAGAAGCAGCGTTGCTTACTCACTCATAGTGGCCTGGACAAAGTCATGAGTTCTGTATGTGTGTAATGCCCAGTGCTTCTATTTTGAGTTAAGTCTCAAAGGCAACCCACTGCATGCCGGGAGAAAGTCCAGGTCTCATCTGCAGGTAACTCAGGTCACATATGTGTGCAGGGCTCATGTTACGAGAAAGCACAGGGTTCTAGGCAACTTCTGATTACCGAACTCTGGGCCAAACCCAAACCACATCCCAGCAGCTCGGCAGACCTTCATTGTCCTCCCTCTAAGGAGTATCTACAGGAAGGCTCACTTTCTTTTCGTTCATTTTTACACAGCTGACTCTGGGCATGGGTCTGGAAAAGGTTCACAAGAGCCTATTTGTCAGTGCCTGGCAGAAAGCAAAGCTGAGACTGTAGCTTTTTGTGTAGGCCCTCTCTGCTAGCCTCAGACCCACCAAGTTCCTGAGAGGGGTGTCATCCCCTCCAGCCTTCCAGAGATTCTCTGATGGCATATTGGAAAGAAGGGCTGCCAGTCCCCTCCCTGACATGCCGTGTAACTCTAATGGTGGTGTCGGAAGGCTACCTGATTAGTGCCTGTGCTTTGACCTCTGCTTTGAGTTGGAAATGTAATCACCTGGCACCAGAGGCATTGTTCTTCAAACTGTCAGTTGTGAATTTTCAACTGTTCAGCAGAAATGGTGAGTTGCCATGGTAACTCTTGGTTCTTGCTGAACTCCTGTGCAGATTTATTGAAAAAGCTCTTAGGAGGTCAGCACTGAAAATTGGGAGAAGAGGGAGAGTCCACGGTCCTGGCACAGGCAGTGGCTCTGGTAGGAGAGCAGAGCAGACCCAGAGCTGTGTGGCACATGGAAACTCTGGGATTATGCCTGGTTAAGGGAGGCATCGGATCTCCAGAGGCCATGGTTGGAAGCATGAATAACATCCTAGGACTGAGGACAAAAACAGAATAGAGTGGTCTCACTGAAGATTAAAAGTAAGCCTCTGAGAGACTCAAATAGAATTTCTAGAACAAAATAGATCCAAAAGGGAGTCAAGCATGATCCAGTGCCCCCGTAGGGTATCATCTGCAGTGCCCAACATGTAATAAAAATTACTGCATCTTTTTTTTTTAAAGCAGGATACTGTGACCCTTACTTTAAAAAAAAAAAAAAGTTTAGACATAGACCAGACCAAGGGGTTGAAGTTAGTTAATAATACCAAGGCATTTGTTATATAAATGAACAGGACTTGAAAAGAAAAGATGATCACTGTGAACTTCAGGAGAGCAGAAACCACCTATAGCAACGAACTGACTGGAAATTTGGAGCAGGAGAATACATCAGAAATTAGAGAAGCTTCAGTGATCGGGCTGCAGGGGGACAAGCAAGAGTGAAACAGACCATAAAGCCCACTTTCCATTCTGAGGACACTCCCTCACGACAGTCCCACCCTGTATAGGGAATACATGTTGAGAGACCCTAGCAGATAGATATGTGCTGGGGGTTGAGAAGCTAAGAGATGAATACTGCAAGTTATACTTGAGAGACATATGGGAAGACTCAAAGTAGATCTGGAGTGATTAGGGGCTGGATCAAGTCTGACAAATTTTGACTTCAGCACAGGAACAGCATGGAATATTGTAAAGAAGGGAGTGATGTCAGAATCATGAGGTAGTTCTTTTTCTTTTTTTTTTTTTTAAAGAGTTACATATTTTCAAAATCACGTTTATGTGTGTGGGTATGTACATGTGAGAAGTTCTAGATCCCATGGAACTAGAGTTACAGACGGTGTGAGCCACTCGGAGTGGGTGCTGGAAGCTGAACTCGGGTCTTCTCAAGAGCAGAAAGCACTGTTAACCGTGGAGCCATCTCACTAGTCCCCAGAATTTTGTTTTCATAAGAACATTGTGGAATGGATAGTTTTGTGGCACCAGTTCAAATACTTTGCAATGGTCCCAACATGCAGCGTCTAGGCTTAGGTAGAGAAGTTAGAAGGGGATCAGACAAGTACCCAGAGGCAGAGCACCCTGAGCTTGGTGGTCTATTGGATGAGAGGATGCAGGTAGTGGTGGCACCCAGGAAGACCTGACTTGATGGGAAGTTCAGGGTTAGACCACTCTCTTGGGTGGAGGTTGAGTCTGAGATGGCTGTTAGACACCCTTGAGTGGAGAGGGGAAAATAATAGGAACTTAGAAACTTTGATCAGGTTCTTAAAGATCAAATGAAATAGGATTCTTGAAAACCAGGCATGATAGAAATTGTCATGAATTAGTGAACAATCCTGGCTGTGTAGATGAGGATGAAACATTGGTTCTATTAAGAATGCTTTTCAGGCTGGGCATTGGTGGTGCATCCTTTAATGCCAGAACCTGGGAGGCAGAGACAGGTGGATCTCTGTGAGTGCGAGGCCAGCCTGGTGGTCTACAGAGCGAGTGCCAGGACAGCCTCCAAAGCAATACAGAGAAACCCTGTCTCGAAAAACCAAAACACCAAAAACAAAAACAAGAATGCTTTTCAGCTGCAAGCAGCTGAAAACCCCAATTGTGGAGGTTTAAACAAGTAGGAAATTACTTTTACCACATGATGAGAGCCAGTGGCCGGGACTGAATGTGTACAAGGTCTCCGACTTGCCATCTTAGCCCTTCTCTTGGCCTTTTTTTCCTGCTTGTGATCTTGTGGTTGCTACATGACTACTGCAGCTCCCTCCAGATACCATATCTCCATTCAAGACGGAAGCAACAGGAGCAGGGCAAGAACTTTCCCAGAACCACCTCCTGCAATAGAATCCCATTCGTGTTTTGTGTCATGTGACCACCCCTAGCATTAAGGGAGAGAGCAAAGTAGACCTGGGCTTTTCAGCCTCTGCAGTCCAGGTGGAGGAGGGATGAGTAATGAGCACTGGCTTGATCCGGGGACTGTCTGCCACAAGGATCTTCAGAGCTCTGTGTTTGCCCCAAAGCTGCCCATGTGGTCAGCTTAGGAGCAAGGCTATGTCCAGGAGCCCTCTCATTTACTTGTGTTCCAGAGTCTAAAGAGAACTCTGAAACAGAAAACCATTTTATTAAAGGCGGTTGTGCAGTGTGTTATATTTCCTTTCACCCCTGCCCAGCCCTTCAGAGTTGTAAGCATGATCTCAGACATTGACAAAGAGAGCTGAGGTGGGAGAGAAGACTGCAAGTTAGGCTTGCAGAGCGGTGTGGGTGGTGTCTCATGGGCAGCTGTGCTGCCTCATCCATGAGGAGAGGAAGATGAATGGTGTTTCCATGCAGGAGACACAGGGTTTGGCTGTACTAGATGTCTCATTCCCATTAGCAGTTTTAGCTAACTGCCCTTATTAAATCATAGTTTCCAAATTGTGCCCTGCCTGGGAGTCCACTGAACAGGGCAGAGGGAGATGCCTTCTTCCAGCTTGCTCAGATTTCCTTTTGTGAGTGAAAGCTGCTGAAAAGAACTGCACTTCCACTGAACATTCTACAAGGCAGAGTTACTGATTAGAACTTCAGACCTGTGGAGAGGTTAGAATGTTGCAAATACAGACCCACATTTTCTTGGGGAAACTTTAGCCCTCTTAGTAGCCATTTGTTGCCCCCTCTGTGCTTGACCTAAGGTCTTTGTAACCATTAGGTCAATCCTTGGCAATGTTTAAATAGAACTCAAATTTTTCTTTGGAATGTATAGACAGACCCTTAGTTTCCAACCAACCAAAGGGCTAAGAATGCTTTCAGATTGGTTTCCTCGCTTTGCTATAGCTGCCTATCTGCTGCTCCCACCAAAGTGCCTTGATTTATGGCTTTCTTTGTTCTGTTACTATAAAAACTTCAAGTTTTACCACATTGGCACATGGAGTTTGGTGTATTCTAAATCTGTGTTCTTGGACCACGGTCACAAACATATGACTCCAGAATAAACCATCTCTTCTCCCTTGGGAGGTGAGAGCTGTTTTGTTGTTTGTTTGTTTGTTGTCTTTTGTGGACACTTTATTTGTGTGTGTTCATGCACAGGGTCTCTTGCTGGCCTTGAACCCTCCCTTGATCATCCTGCCTCTCAGCCTTCCAAGTGCCAGGATTATAAGTATGTTCCACCAAGCCTAACTCCTCAGGATTTCATACCACATTTTAAAAAAAGTCTAAGAACCTGGGGTTTCCCCAGATTTTTGTGTTCTGTGAGCCTACTGGGTTTCTGTCCCTTGTGGTTTACCTGGTGGGATGAGGAACTACTTGCCAAGGGTAGAGATCTGAGATGAGACCAGGACCACCCTCACTAAAAGAGAATGGGAAGGAAAGCTGAGTGAGTGTTGCTGCTCTATCATATGCTGTGTTGTTGGGTGAGGCATTCTCTGAAGACCTGATTATCCAAAATTAGCCTTGAATAACTGCGTTTATTATACAGGGAATTGAAAAGGGCTTATTTGGTGCTCCAAAATATTGGTTTCATTTGTTCAATTTAAAAAATTATTTCACTTTGTAAAAATATTCATAGACTTGCTTAGATTTTAGGTCAGCGTCTATCCAGAATTAGCATATGAAAACATTCACATTTCTTCCTGTTTGATTGTTTGGGCCTCGTTTCCATCTGAATATTTTAAGGCTAAGCATCTCCACTAGGAGTTTTCCACCCTTGACGTGCAATCTGGGAAGAAAACAAAACCAAATCCCTGTCTGCTAACCTGTCACCTCAACACTTGGAGAAGGCAGGAGGATTGGAAATTCAAAGTCAGTCTGGGTTAAGAACCTGTATCAAAACAAACAAACAAAAAGAGCTAGAAGAGGTAGAGGAGGAACAGAAAGGGGAGAGGGAAAGAAGATGAAGGGGAGAAATGATCACAGGCAGGGTTCTGTTGGTGTAGCCCAGTGATGCTGGAAAGGGTGACACAAAATTCTGTGGAATTGTCAGCAGCCAACTGGAATATTCTGTGGCAGGGAAAGATGGGGAGAGGTGGAGCTTATCTGCAGGTCGTGAACTTCTATTGACCTCCAGACTGTACACACATTCAGCAATGATGTGAATTGGGGTCTTTGTCCATTAGCTTTCCTTCCTCCTTCCTTCCTTCCTTCCTCCTTCCTTCCTTCCTTCCTCCTTCCTTCCTTCCTTCCTTCCTTTATTTTTTTAAAAAAGATTTATTTATTTATTTATTATGTATACAGTATTCTGTCTGTCTGTATGCCTGCACACCATAAGAGGACACCAGACTTCATTATAGATGGTTGTGAGCCACCATGTGGTTGCTGAGAATTGAACTCAGGACCTCTGGAAGAGCAGCCAGTGCTCTTAACCTCTGAGCCATCTCTCCAGCCTCCCATTAGCTTTCTTTCTTCCATGAAACCTTGAACCGTGAACAGATGTACATCAGGTTGATCTTGCTTAAATGGGTGGTGAATTGAGCGCCTCTGTTGTCTTTTGCTACCTCTGCTGAGTGAGGCGTGAGAGTGAGGGGATCTGATGTCCAGGTCTCTCTTCCATGGGAGTGAGGGGATCTGATGTCCAGGACTCTCTTCCATGGGAGTGAGGGGATCTGATGTCCAGGACTCTCTTCCATGTTCCCACCTTTCCTACCTCAGGCCCCATACTACTTGCTCTCACATGAGCCTTGCACTGCAACTTTTCTGTTCTTTGTTTTTTGTTTTGTTTTTTTTTATTACCCCAGGCTATGCAGGATGCATTGGCAGACCTCCCAGAGTGGTACGGAATAAAGGGCATGCAGGCCCACTGGATTGGGGACTGTGTAGGCTGTCACCTGGAATTCACATTAAAGGTACTAACATACTGGCACCCCCAACATTCATGCTCACAGCTCTCTCTTGCAATATGGAACTCTGTGAATGCACAGCAGCTCCATACCTGACCACAGAACTGCCCAGCAAAAAGAGAACCAGGAGGACATCTTTCTGAGCAGGCTTTCTCTACCTTCATCCTGGCATGCCTAGTGCTGAGTGCAGAGTGGGGACTGACCAAGGAGTCCCCTGCTCTTCTTCTGCCTGGCCCCTCGTCTTGTACACATTCCTGGTCCTGTAGTCAGAAACTGCTGTGGCTGTTTGGAAATGAGGGAAGGGGTGGAAAGGGAGCCACATAGGTCTGAAGGAGGACTGAAAATGAAATGTCATGTTTCATCCTGCCAGGTTGATGGACAAGACACAGGAGAGAAACTGACAGCATACACAGCCACTCCTGAGGCCATTTATGGCATTTCCCATGTGGCCATTTCTCCTAACCACAGGCTTCTACACGGCTGCAGTTCCCTGAAGGAACCCTTGCAGAAGGTACTAGTCCCTGGCAGAGGTGAGCGACGTGATGAAGCACAGGCTTCTGGATTTCCGCCATCAGCTGGATAGCAGTCCACAAGACCCATATAGTTCCTTCTCACATGTTTGCCATTTCTCTCCCTCTGTTCTTCACTTCAGCTGTAATTTTTACTTCTTTATCTGAAAACTTGAAGATGAAACAGCTCTGGCAACATTAAGTTGCCTGTCCTGAGTTTCCCTGAGTCCCAGCCTTTCTGCACCCAGAGCTTTCCCAGAAGCTCTGTTCTTTTCCTTTTAATTCAGTATTACTTTAAAGCTTTCTTCTAATAGGGAGAAAATCATCTCCCAAATTTTTAATTCCTCCAGCAAATAAAACTGCACACAAAAAAACAAAACAAAACAAAGCAAAAAACCACACAGGGCCGGAAAGATGGCTTAGTGGATAAAGATGCTTATTATCCTCAAGACTGAAGACTTGGGTTCAATCCTTATGACCTGCATGGTGGAAGGAGAGAGCAGCCACCTGTAAGTCCTTTGACCCCTCCCCCACACACATTGTAGTACACATTCCCACTCTTCACCCCCCCATAAATAAATCAATGTACTAAAATTTTAAAGCATGAGGATTCCCTGAGTGATGGCTATCACTGGGAAGGATTCCTGGCCTTTTCCTTGGCAAGGGGAAGACCACACACCTTTAATTAAACACAAAACTGAAGCCAGCCAGGGAGGGTATGAGGGGTATAGAGTCTACTGGGTGAAATGACGCCCTTATTGATTAAAAGTAGGTCTCTGGAGAAGGTTTAAAGGTCTCTGCAAAAATCTCATCCTGTGCTTCCTCTTACACCATGAACTTTAACCTGCAGCTTGCACCTGAACTATTGGGCTCTCAAACTGTTTTGGATGATGTAAATTGGAGAGAAAGTATCATGACAATTTACTTCTGCTTCAGACAGTGATTTTTCTGAGTGCAGTGAGGTAAACTCTGGTCCCCTCCCTTCCTAGGAACTGCTGTGGTCCCAGTCCCTGGGTCAGAGACAGGTTTTTACAATTCTGACTGTAGGTACCTCTGGGCTTAGGACAGAAGACACCCAACACAGGGCAGGTCTTGTCCCTTGCCTTCACCTTCTTTTGTTATATATTGAAATAAAGAAAAGATACAGGTTAGAGTTCCATGTGGGCTTTTAAGACCTCTGTGCCCATGTCTCAGGTTCTGTAGTCATTACTTTTCTGACAAAAGCAACTTAGGGGAAATTTGAGGGTAGAGAAATCATGGTAACAGGAACATGAGGCAGTTGATCACACTGCATCCAGTTAGTATGGTGGCTTGAATAAGAACGACCCACATAGACTCATGTATTTGAATGCTTGATCACAGGGAATGGCACAATTTGAAAGAATTAGGAGGTATGATCTTGTTGGAGGAAGTGAGTCACTGGGGGTGGTCTTTCTTTTTCTCTCTGCCTGTAGATCAGGATGTAGCTTTCAACTATTTCTCCAGCATCATGCCTCCCTGTTACCATGCTCCCTGTGGCTATGCTTCCTGCCTTGATATAATAATGAACTAAACCTCTGCGATTGTAAGCAAGTACCACTTAAATATTTTCTTTTATAAGAGCTGCTGTGGTCATGGTGTCTCCTCACAGCAGTAGAACCCTGACTGAAACAGCTAGGAAGTAAGGGAGAGGTGAATGCCCTGCTGTTTAGCTCACTTTCTCCTTTTTATTCAGTCCTGGACCCAAGCCCATGCAAGGTTGCCACACACATTCAGGGTGGGTCTAACCCCTCTCAGGTAAGTCTTTCTGGAAACTCCTTCCAGATATACTCATGGTGATTTTAAAACCCAGGCGAGTTGACAACAATGAGATGTGGCCTCGTTGGAAGAGATGTGTCCCTGAGGGTGGTCTTTGAGGTTTCAAAAGCCTTGGCCATTATTAGTTAGCTCTCTCTCTTTCTCTGCCTTGTGCCTGTGGATCAGTACATAAGCTCTCAGCTACTGCTCTAGTGTCATGTTCTCTGCTGTGATGGTCATGGACTCATCATCTCAAACTATAAGCCCAAACTCTTCTAAACAAACTCTTCTAAAGGTTGCCTTGGTCATTGTGTCTCAGCACAGCAACAGCAGAAAGCAGGATCCTACACCTGGCTCTCTTCATTTAGCCTTTCATTTTGCCGAATACACATACTCCAGTATCTCCTAAGGAAAGTGTACATGGGAAGGGACTGTCCTGTCTTTGGATGTCTGGAAATCTGTTTTCCTGCTTTCTGCTCTGCTGTGTTTTGCTTCCTAGCCACATTATCATCCATTTGCTTTAGAAGTTCATGCCTCTTTTCACTACAGGAAGGTTTTGTGTTTTATTATTCTCACTGCTGGAGATAATTTTGAAAAGTAAAAGGTGGTAATGAAATGGCTTTTCCATCTGGAACTCTGAAACATCCTTCTTACTTCTTTGCTTTTGCGTGCAGATGGACGAAACTTTCTCCCATGCTCGTTTAATCTTCTCATTTCCGCTGGTGTAAATTATCTGCTAATACCCTTCAAAGGGCCAGCTCTTTGGCAATTAGCACACAGCATGGAAGAGGTGGTGCTGCTTTTTCTGACTTGTCTGCTCTGGGGTATGTCTAGTTGATGGATCTGTTCTTGTTTTCAGATTGCCTCACACCAGTGATGGCTGTGAACATGCTCACCCAGCAGGAAGTTCCCATCGTTGTCATGGCCAAGGCTGACTTAGAAGGTTCTCTAGATTCAAAAATAGGTATGTTGCTGTTTATATGTCACACATGCTAATAAATGATGCAGATTTAGGGGCAAAGGTCTCACAGTTCTTGCTGTCATTTAGAGTTTACCATTGAGTCTGTGATGGGTTTTGCCTTTTAATGAACTTTGTGCCCCCCTTTTTTCATTCTCTTTGTAGCTGAGGATCAAATCTAGGGCTTCACACATTGCTAGCAAAGCAATCTACCATGAGCTGCAACCTCAGTCACTTACCTTCTATGTAATCGTTATTTAGTTAAGGACTACATATTCAAGAGCATGGTGGAACACACCTGAGTTCTTAGGATTCAGGAGCCTGAGTTGAGACAGTCACAAGTTTAAGGTTTTTTTTTTTAATGTATTTTATGTGTATGAGTGTTTTGTCTGCATGTATGTATGTGTACCATGCATGTGCCTGTGCCCTTGATGGTCAGAAGAAGGAATCAGATCTCCCGGAACTATCATTACAAATGGTTGTGAGCTCTCAGGTGGGTGCTGGGAACTGAACCCAGGTCCTTAGTAAAAACAAGTTATCTTTTAACTGCTAAGCTGCCTCTCCAGTCTGGTATCACAAGCCTAAAGCCTGTACAACATGGCAAAACATATCTTTAAAAAACAAAAGCAAGCACACAAACAACAACAAAAAAGCCCTGTCTGTGTATTTGAAAGCATATTGGGGGTTGGTAAGACAGCTCGGTGTGTAAAAGTGATTGGCTCTCAAGCCTGTCAGCCTGGGTATAGTTACCAGAACCTGATTAGGAGGTCTTCCAAACCTCCACATGAGCCTGCACATATACATATGTATACACACACTTAAGAATAACAAATAAAACAATTTTTAATTTTTTTAAAGAAAGCATATTAGGTATAATCATGCCTTCCTGACTGCTATTGAGTATTTAAAAAGTCCAGGCTCATGGATCATGAGGTAGTTTTGAAGACTTGGACACATGAAATGGGAGATAATACAACATAGACTAAAAATTTAATTGACTTAGTCCCAGCACTAAGGAGCCTGAGGCAGGAGGATCTTGAGTTTGAGGTCAGCATAGACTATATAGTAAGATCCTGTCTCACAAAACCAAACCAAACCAAACAAAATAAAATTCACAAAATCACCAGCAAGTGCAGAGATGGGAGTCCCAGACACATCCTATCCCCGTGGGCTAGGTTTTGGCATTGTGGAGGAGGCTGATCTGAACTGAAGCAGGATCCAGAGGCATAGTTAGAATCAAAGTTGGATGTCCTCACCTACTGTCCTGGGTCAGGAAGGGAACAAAAGGAAAGTACCTCAAGACAGCACTATCCAAACTCTGCCTTCAGAACAAGCAATGCCCCTCCTACCTGCTTTCCTGTGGGAGATCACAGCCATGCTGCAGGGCAGCAGGCCCTTGTGGCGACAGAGCAACAGATTGTGTTTTCCATGCTGCTGCAAACATGGGGAACAAGTGACATTCCATATTAAAATGACCTCAGGTCAGTTTTGATGAAGAGGCATCAAAGCCAAAAGCTGGCACTGAGAGCTCAGGTCACTTTTGACCATTGTAGCCATGCATTTTGTAATTAGTAAGATGTTTTAAACAGCCAGCCAGAGTAAACAGTGAAGAAAATCTTGATATTGCTGTTTGGGGCAGACAAGAGGTGTTTGACATTTTGGGCTAAATCACTGATGCAGTATTAAAATTCTAAGGATCTAGATATTTTTATTTAAATTTTTTGTTTGTTTGTTTGTTTTTTGTTTTTCAAGACAGGGTTTCTCTGTATTTCTCTGGAGGTTGTCCTGGAACTCACTCTGTAGACCAGGCTGGCCTTGAACTCACAGAGATCCGCCTGCCTCTGCCTCCCTAGTGTTGGGATTAAAGGCGTGTGCTACCAACACCCAGCTGAATCTAGATGTTTTTAGGTGAGCATGGGAAATTTTTTTTTCTGTTGTCTTGATTTCCCTCAGTTATGTAACTAGTATTTTCTAAAGTATTGCTTTGTGCCTTCTAAGGACAGAAACAGAAACAAGTAAGAAATAAAGCAGAATTTTCACCATCCAACCTGCACAGTTAGAATATGTCATATTTTAGAGTACTTTTTTTTTTTTTTTTTTTTTGGTTTTTCAAGACAGTGTTTCTCTGTATAACAGCCCTGGCTGACCTGGATCTTGCTTTGTAGACTAAGTTGGCCATGGGCCCACAGAGATCCGCCTGCCTCTGCCTCCTGAGTGCTGGGATCAAAGGCGTATGTGCGCCACTAGTGCAGACTAGAGAATACTCTTTATGTGGCTAAATAAATGTGGTCACAGTGTCTCCTTTGAGCTGTCACTGAGTCGCCTAAGCTGGACATTGGGAATCTGGTGAATGACTGTCGTCTCCCCTGTGCTGTAAACACTTGGTACTGTGCTCTTCTCCTGCAACCTTACCCTTCGGTCTACTGACATTCACTCACTTGACTTTGTGCTTTCTGTCACAACTCAGTTGGAAACAACACAGCTTTGCACCATACTATAGACCTTAACACATGTCCTCTGGACCTTAAGCCACTCCTCTGGCACTGTTTTGCAGAGGAGCTGGCCTAGCCTTCCTGTATGACCCTTCACTGGTGGGTCATGTCCACATTCATGTCTACATTTTCCATGAGAGAGGTGTCAACACCTGGAGACATTTGGCAAATGGGGAGATTTTTGTTTGTCCCTGCTGAGGAAGTGGTCTGGGAAGGGGCCAGGATGATGTACAATGTTCCCTGTGCTGCTGTGCTCAGAACAATCCACCATGTCAGCAGAACCACACTCAGAACCCTGTCCTGCAGAGCCAGCCACCAAAGCCTGCTTCTGTGCACAGCTGAAGCCAGAACAGCAGGTTTCCCCCTCTGGGTGAGTGATCTCAGTAGGCGTGGCTACAGCTTCCAGGGGAAGAAATCTTTTTCTGGTGTTAAAAAGCTGGTGGTCAGAACTCCTTCCACCAGGAAGTCATTGAGGAGATTCAAGAGGCCCCCCCTCACACCTGTAATGTAAAGTTTCAGTAGTATATATAGTACATTTTTAGGCTTTCAGCAATGTTTTTAAGAATAAGATAAACCAGAGAAAAAGACCTAAAGTAAATAATCCCAACTTGGTGAACAGCTGTGCTCGGGTGTCAGGCTCCTTAAGGCTTTGTGTCCCATTACCCTGTGTGATGGGGCTTCCTGGCTTCTCTTGCAGGAAGCTAACGCCATGCATCACTTCTTGCCTGATTCTTTGCTTTGAACACTTACGAGGAGGTGATGTTTTGTGTTTTGGGTCATTTCTTTTTCTCCTCTGCACAGGAATCCCCAGCACCAGCTCAGAGGACACCAGCATAGCCCAAGCCCTGGGCCTGCCCTACTCTGAAGTCATTGAAACTTCACCAGATGGCACAGAGAGACTGAGTGGATCTGCTGAGGTTTGTGCCCTGGCCTGTGCCTGAGAACTCACCTGTGAGTCAGAACCCTCACATGGGTGTGATGAGACACCCTCATTCAGAATCACATCGCTGCCTGCCCTTTCTCTCTCTCTCACCCCAGCAGCCTTGCAGCCTTGCAGCCTTGCTTGGTTTCTCAGAACAAAAGTCTATTCTTCAACACCTAGAAGTTTCTTAGCTTGAAATCTAATCCAACCATAAAACAACTTTGTTGAAAATCTTTCTTGAGAATGATCTTTCATCTAAAGTTCAAGTCTCTTACAGAAAGGAATAAATACTCAGAGTTGTGTTGTGTTAGTCAAGGTTATCTCTTGTTTGATGTGGTACATTTGGTAGGATATGAACCCCACCTGTGCTGCACTGAACCAGAAAGCACAGTGGAAGAGGCAGTTTCGGGGTGGGAGGCTAAAGTGGGAAGTGGTTTAAGTGAGTCTCACACTTGAGCATACATATCAGCATCATGCTGGCCTTGCTAGAACATGACTGCAACACATATCCAGAGATCCTGACTCTTCTCAAGAGTTTCTGTCTCCAGCAAATCTGCATGGTGCTGGGGGCGGTGCTTCTGGCCCAGGGATCACTGTTGAGAATCACTGGCTTAGAGCCTTGCTGCTAAAAGTAAGGTCCCTAGAACAGTGACTCTGGCATCAGTATTAGGAAGGTGGACTCCCAGCCCTACCCTCGTCACACAAAATCCCTGAGTGATTTGTATGCACATTAAAACTTGAGAAGACCAGTTTATAGTATTCATTTTTAAACTTGGCTACACAGTGGAAATACCAGGAAAAGTGTTTTCAAATACTGATGCTTGGAAGAAGAGTGTGTTGATACATACCTCTAGTCCTAACATCAGGGAAATGAGGCAGGAAGGTTAGGAATTCAAGGTTATTCTGGCTACATAGAGGTTGAGACTAGCTTGGGCTATGTGAGACCCTGTCTCAAGAAACAAAACAAATAAAATAACAATCTGATGGTTGACTCTTTATTTTTATTTTTTTTTTAAGATTTTATTTATTTATTATGTATACAGTCTTGTGCCTGCAGGCCAGAAGAGGGCACCAGATCTCATAACAGATGGTTGTGAGCCACCATGTGGTTGCCAGGAATTGAACTCAGGACCTCTGGAAGAGCAGTCAGTGCTCTTAACCGCTGAGCCATCTCTCCAGCCTGTTGATAGCTGAATCTTAACCCAGATATTTCAGCCTCATGGTCAGTGACAGTGAGAACATGAGTAGTAAACATCAGGGGTGGTTACTGTTCCCCGAGACTCCAACATAAGCCTAATCTGGAGCCTCTGCTCAGCATGGCAGCTCCACACCTGGCCAGTGATGAGTCACTGGAGAAGCACCTACTGGTTGTCCCCCTGGTTCTGGTTCTGGTCCTATTATACCTGAAAATTCAAGTGTTTCAGGTTTGGGACCACTTAGGTATAAGGGTGTACTGTCTTTCTATCCTCTCCGTTTCTGTCTGTATGTCTTGGGGTTTCTATTGCTGTGCAGAGACACCATGGCTACGGCAACTCTTACAAAGGAAAACATTTAATTGAGGTGGCGGCTCACAGTTTTAGATGATCAGTCAGTCCATTATCGTCATGGTGGGGAACATGATGCTGGCTACATCTTGATCAGAAGGCAACAGGAAGTTGACTGTGATACTGAGCATAGCTCAAGCAAGAGAGACCTCACAGCCCTCTTCCACAGTGATACAATTCCTCCAACAAGGCCACACCTCCCAATAGTGCCACTCTGTTATGAGCTTATGGGGGCCAATTAAATTCAAACTACCACAGTGTCTATCACTTTTTCTGCCTCCCTGCCTGCCTGCCTGCCTGTCTATCATCTGTCTATCTATCTAGTTATCTATCTAGCTATCTATCTAGCTATCTAGCTATCATCCATCTATAAGAGAATAATGACCAGCCTTCCACCTTTAAAAAGAGAGACAGTACCTGACTTCATGTTTGTATCTCCAAACATAAATCATGTTCTAAGATGGTAATGCCTTTTTTCTTGGCCCTCATTTGTGTAGCCTACTGGAGATGTGGCAGAGTCAAACCTGGATGTCTACAAGGGAGCCCCAGCTCTGGGAAGTGAGGAAGGTGATATCCATGGCCAAAAAATGAGGCACTCTCTCAAGGGTCCATCCAGATAAAACCCCCATTCCTTTGGATGGGACTCCAAGCATTAGTTATCCTCTTTATCTGCTTTCAGATAGCTACAGGTAGCTTTTGAGTCGTCTCCCAGCTCTTTGCCAAATACTTAGCCAAATTCTGTCAGTGAAGGGTGGAGAGGAGTGGTACAAAGCTGTTTTCCTTCATGAGCTTTTGGAGCAGAAGACAGTGGTACATGAAAAGACAAGCTTTGAAGAGAGCTGTCATGCTTTGTAGCACAACTACATGATGTCAGTAGTACAGACTGGGAAATCTCTCCCCCACAGCATAACCACCCCTTCACAATAAACTCTTTGAGAAAACTCTTCACATCAGTAGTAAGAGGGGTGACTTTGGTAAACATGGCTGAACTCTCTTACTATGCTAATTTCTTGTGACTATAAGCTCCTTGAGACCAGGAGTAGGTTACATTACCTTTGTGTGTCTGAGATCTGGCATTATGACAGGGCTGATCCCCAGCTGCCCACATTCTGAATGTTAGCAAGTCTTATGGCTCACTTCATCCAATTAGTTCGATGTCTGGGGAGCTTCAGTGAAGAGAGAACTCTACCTTTGAACTAGTAATATCCAGTCCTGTTGTCTATGAAATGGGAGAATTTAAACACAGAGAATGATTTGTCTCTTCAAGATGAGGCAGATGTGGCCCCTTGCTTGCCTTAAAATATGACGCTGAATTTTTCTTCTCTGGATATTTTCTGTCTAAGAGGAAAGAGTCATTAAAAATGCGTATTGTACAACTCTTCACTGGTAGTTAGACACTGATAGTGATTCCACCACACACACTGGGCATGGTGGCCATGGCCAACATTGCTTCTCAAGACTACTGGAAATATTTTAATATCTTCAAAATTTGGAAGTAGAGCTGGAGAAATGGCTTAGCAGTTGAGAATACTGTTCTTCTAGGGAACCCGGGTTCAATACCCAGCACTTACATGACAGCTCACAACCATCTGTAACTCTAACTCCAGGAGACCCTTCATCCTTCTTATGATCTCCCTATGCACCAGGCACAAATGTGATGCACACACATGCATGAGGATAAAACACCTATATGAATAAAATAAGTGAATTTTTAATTGAAAACAAAAAACCTTGAGCTTTTAGGTTCAAGATTCTTTTTTTTTTTTTTTAGCACTACAATTGCAAAATGTGATTTTTTTTACACACGTAGGTCCTTTAGCTTAAGGAGGAAAGGACCTATAAAGTGATGAATGCATCCAGGGCTCAGGGGAGTCGTGATGCAGCAGCTCTGCCCAGACCAGACCCTTATGAGAGTCACACTGATGGAGTGGTACAGGGTGTGAGCAGGGGCAGCAACTTTCTTACAGTTGTCTCTCCTCTCTTCCAGTTCACAGGTATGACCCGGCAGGATGCCTTTCTAGCCCTTACTCAGAAAGCCCGTGGGATGAGAGTAGGTGGAGACGTGACAAGTGATAAACTGAAAGACTGGCTGATCTCAAGGCAGCGCTACTGGGGCACACCGATCCCCATTGTCCACTGCCCAGCCTGTGGCCCTGTGCCCGTGCCGCTGCAAGACTTGCCTGTGACGCTGCCCAGCATCACATCCTTCACTGGCAAAGGCGGCTCCCCACTGGCCTCAGCTTTGGAGTGGGTGAACTGTCCTTGCCCAAGGTGAGGAGCCACAGCTAGCACGCTGAGGTGTCTAGGACACCCTCCTCTCACTGGGCGCTAAATGCTGCCTTCTTTCCCAGCCTAAAAGGAATATCAAAGGCATTTTGGAACCTTTGAGACAACAGTCTAGAACCTAGCCTAATCACTGTAGAGGACCATGAAACATTGATCCAATGTAGGGAAGACCATAGGGTTCATGATATTGTACTGCCTGCCATTTCTATTCCACAGAACGTCCTCAAGGTGAGAAAAGGCGTTTCTCTCCTGTGAGAGCTCAGAACCTGTGATAGCCATGGAGGTCTTAGCACCAATCATGGACCCAGGAAAGACAGCCGGTGTGTTCATTCTTTACCTTGCTGAAACACACTGGCTTGATTTCCCTTCTCCTCATTTTGGAGTGGGATTGAGTTCTTCTAAGATCAGCAGAGTGCTTCTAGTGTGATTTTCATGATGCTGTCATCAGCTAACTAAGCAGAACAATAACAGACATCATGTCGTTTCCCCTTTCCCTTTGCAAAGGAGTGTCCACATTCAGTGCGGCACTGCAGCCTCGTGTGGTAACGTGGCTTTTCAACTCACTGCTCTCCTGCACTGTAGGGTTTGGGGGTAGTCTGTCGTATAATTCCCTGGTGTTCTGGGAACCTGATGAGATAGCATCTGTGACACCTTTGGCCTAGTTCTACTGAACCCAGACCAATCTGGTGACCTCGTGCCCATCATGTGCCCAAGCACTTCCTCCTTACCATCAAGGGTTGGTATCAGTGGTAACACCTAGTTGCCTTCAAGCCCAAGGAGACATTAATGGAAGTGAGCATGATGGGTGCCAGCCAGATGTGATGGCTTCTGGGTAGTGGGCCTCAGTTTTCCTTAGTGTTTCTGCAGGTTGGGCAAGGAAAAGAAAGTGCCTTTATCTTCCAGTTACTTTGCAAACCATTGTCTGTGGTCAAAAATAGAATGTAATCCAATAAATGCCTGGCTTTACTTTAGAGAATTACTCTTGAGATAGGCACACCTCTCTGGGAGCTCACAGGACTTCCTAGGAACCTCTCTGACAACTCCTGCCCTGAGGGACCCCACAAAGCCCAGGCCTCCTGATAACAATGCAGGTGTGAGGCCCTGTTTGAGGTGGGGGTGGGAGGGCTGATTCCTTCTGAGATAATCATAGAGCCAGTGTGGACTGCCTAACAAATATGAGACATAAAACACACCCTTTTTATTTTTAAGCTGAAAATAGACTAAAACTCTTGTGTGCTTAGTGACTGGAAGGTCCCTCTGCTCTCTTGGAGACTCCATCCCTCTTCTCCCAGCTCTCCAAGAGCAGCCTCAAGGTTTTGCTGCTCAAAGTGAAATATTAGGAGGCCCAACACCTCAGAAGTACAGCTGGTGAGAAACTGCACTGAAATCTAGAAAGAAAAAAAAAGCCAATTGGTAAATTTCTTTTCTCAGGTGCAAGAGACCAGCCAGGAGAGAGACAGACACCATGGACACCTTTGTGGACTCTGCGTGGTACTACCTCAGATACACTGACCCTCAAAACACTCATCGGTAATGTCCCTACTGTGTGACAGGTAGCACTTTGCATCCTCTACGAAGCAAAACCAAGATGGAATTAGATGTGCCAGGCAGGTGCTGGGGACATGCCTGGGAGGACAGAGAGAGGAGTGAGCTGGCAGAGAGGACACCCACATAGTACATATTTGTAGCTGTTACCCAGAGAGAGTAGAGGGAGGAGAATGCAGAGGAGACCTGGATCAAGCCTCAGCAAGGCCTGTGGAAAGGGTGCCCAGTGTGTGTTCACAAACTCAGAACACAAAGTGGGCAGATGTACCGGAGTAGTTCCACAGACACAGTGCTGGATATTGTTGGTCAACTGTGCACATCAGGCCAGGCTCTTAGCGTGGGGAAGCTCAGGCACAGAGCCTTTGCCTAGCATGGAAAAGCCCCGGGGCTCTATCCCTAACACCAGAGGAGAAGGATTTTTTTTTTAAGTGAGTATGTTAAATTATTGTTATTTTAGATTGCTCAGCCTAGTAAATCCCAACTATAAAGGAAGAAGAGGTGAACTTAGGGATTGTAGGGATACCTGGTCATGGACTGCAGGGAGACAGGGCAAAGTGCTGGGAGAGCTAAACACCTTAGACTCTTCTTACCACACATGGTCAGTAAATCTCCTGAAGTGAAAAATCAACAACAAATATAAACATTTTAAATAATTAAAGTAATAGTGGAAGCCAGAAGTGTTGGCACATGTGTAAAATCCCAGAAGTCAGGAGGCATCAACAAGACAATCAAGAGTTCAGGGGCCAGCCTGGGCTGCACAAGACTCTACAAAAAAAAAAGGAGAGGAAGAGTGGCATATAGAACTAAAAACTAAAAGTGACTAGGTTGGCCAGATGCGGTGATGTCTGTAGGTGGGAGTTTCTGTCCCGTCAGCAGCTCCTGAATAACCTCACAGAGGCTTATATTAATTATAAATGCTCTGCCAATAGCTCAGGCTTGTTGCTAGCTAACTCTCTCTCTTTTTTTGTTTTTGTTTTTGTTTTTGTTTTCTTGAGACAGGATTTCTCTGTGGCTTTGGAGGCTGTCCTGGAACTAGCTCTTGTAGACCAGGCTGGTCTTAAACTCACAGAGATCCACCTGCCTCTGCCTCCCAAGTGCTGGAACTAAAGGCGTGCACCACCACTGCCCAGCCTGAATTTTTTTTTTAAGATTTATTTATTTATTATGCATACAGTGTTATGTCTGCATATATACCTGCACACCAGAAGAGGGTACCAGATATCATTATAGATGGTTGTGAGTCACCATGTGGTTGGTGGGAATTGAGCTCAGTATCTCTGGAAGAGCAGCCAGTGCTATTAACTTCTGAGCCATCTCTCCAGCCCAAAACTCTGAAATTTTGAAACCAGGGAGCACAGATCCTCCAAAGCAAAAGTTCCCTCAGCTGACTTCAAACAACTTGGGAACAGAGTGGTCTGTTCCCAGCCGAAATGACTCTTTCCCAAGGCAGTAGCCAGCACTATAGGACCTAGAGAGTCCTTCCTCTCTGTACATTAGAAGTTGAGGGAAGCTTGACCTTTGGTAAAACCATGTTAGTAAAGATGAGGGAGTTACCAGAATATTTTATGACGGGCCCTATAGGAGTTTCATTCCTTCAGTAAGCCATATTTGAACTCTTGCTGGCTATTTCAAAACACCTTTAAAAATAAGACTGAATTTCTGTTTTAAAATGAACATTTACTACCATGCTGGTTTCTATTATCAATGCTGCTATTGCCCTCTATTGGTGAGAATTAAAAAAAAATTTCTATTGTCCAAACATAATAAAAATTAAAGCATCCTATGGAGATGCCTTGTTGCCAGTATCTTTTTATTTTGTTCTTGTTTCATACAAGAATTACTGGTTTGTTTTGTTTGTTTGATTGTTTGGTTTTGGGTTTTGGTTTTTTGAGACAGCTTTTCTCTGTGTAGCCCTTCCTGGCCTGGAACTCAGAGATCCACCTGCCTCTGCCTCTGAGTCCTGGGATTAAAGGCACCAGCACCAGCATCAGCTCAAAAATTCCTTTTTTATTTCATTTATTGTGTGTGTGAATGAGCGAGCATGTGTCACAAACCATGCAGAGGTCAGCGGGTGTCTCATGGATCCAGTCAACACTGGTTCTTTTGTCACTCACTGTGTATGTTTTTCTCTTATTAAGAGGAAGTCACTGTTTTTTCTGACATTAGTTCTTTTTGAGGTATATGCAGATTACAATGGGTCTAATTTATGCAGTTGTGGCAAAGAAGGTTTTAAAATGCCCATTTATCTTTCTTCCAGTCCATTTAGCCCAGCACTGGCCAACTTCTGGATGCCTGTGGATTTGTACATCGGAGGGAAAGAGCATGCTGTCATGCACTTGTTCTATGCAAGATTCTTTAGTCATTTCTGCCATGATCAAAAGATGGTGAAGCACAGGTTAGTCTTTGTTTTTGTTTTTTTAACTTTCTTTATATTTCTTGTGTCTTTCACATCATGCATCTCGATCCCATCTATTTCCCACCCTGCGTGTCTGCCTTCTGCCCTTGCACCCCCGATAAAATTTAAGAGAAAAAAGAAGAAGGGGGAATCTCCTCATGGAAGCTGCAGTGTGACATAGTGAGTCACACAGTAAGCCTCTTTGTCTGTATGTCTTTCCTTGTAAGTGTTCATTGCCAGGAGTTCTTGGTCTGGTTCGAGGCCTTTGGTTTCTGCAACACTATGTATGCTGGGCCCTCACTGGAGCTGCTCTTGGATATACTGTTGTTGCCCTGTGTTGTGGAGATCCTGTGGCTTTGGGTCTGCAGGACCAGTCCCTTCACATGCTCCAGCAGGTCACAGATGGAATTGGCCAACCCACTGGTTCTGGACCTGTGTGGCTACAGGGTTGGTCAACCTGCCAGTTCTCCCTTGTCCTCACCACAAGGTGAGCTCTCCTGCATTGCCCTGGTGAGTTTGCCCCTTGCAATGATGAGCAAGGGGTGGGACCAGTCTTCCTGCTTTCAAGCCCTCAGGGTTGGCTTTCCTGCACCTACACTGCAGGTCCAGCTCTACTGTGTTGTCCTGAGTGCTGAAGAAGATGAATGGCAGGGCCAGCTCTCCACCTGCCTGGGGTTGATGGGAGGTGGGGTGGGGAGCCTGGACACACCTGTGTCTCAGGTCACACTGGTCTCACTTGCTACTAGTTTTGTTGCTCTTACTAATCATTCATTGTTCTTTGGGGTTTTTAGCCAAGCTTATATGTCTTGGTTCTTGTTTATGGGAACTCCTGGTGCAGTCTGTATAGTCAGTGTGTGTTAGGTTCCCTCTGTTGCTGGAGAGGACACCAACTCACAACCTCATATTCTCTGCCTGAGGTTGCATGGCCATACGAGTAGCATGGATCCGGTCCCAGAACCATAACAAGAAAATCTTATGTCTGTGGATTCTCAGGAAAGTTTAATGGCTTTTGTTATTCTTTTGTTTAAATTAGATATAAAGAAAAAGAGAGGCGGATGAGACATAAGACTAAGAGACATATTAGACATATTAACCAGTTTATTATAGGCCCGGCAGAGTAGGGAGACTAAGAGAGAAGAGAAACAGGGTAAATGGCTGACCGCCATGGCCAGTTGCCATAGAGAGAGAGAGAAGAGAAGCAGAAGCAGACAGAGGAAAGGAGAAGAGTAGAGAGTATAGAGAGCAGAGAGAAGTGTAGAGAGAGTGTAAATGGGCAGGGATCTGTCTTTTAAAGGGGTCCTCTGCACCTGCGTGCAGACTTAGTTCCCATGGAACCCTCAGCTGACCAGGGTACTACCTGTTCCACCAGGTAACAGGGGCAGGCCAGCATAATGCCTGAACCTTTCAATCCCACCTTTACTTATTATTTAAAAAGGTGGGGTGTTGGACATGGCAGAATAAGGAATAAGGGCGTTGAATTCTCAAGACTGCTTCCTGCTGACATGGGGGG